TGCATATATTAAGTGTCGAACTATAGTAAATATGACTATGCATGTTTTTGAGCTGAAACATGAATCTTTTCGGATTAGGGTTTTAGACCCTTGGGTTTATTAAAGAAAAATGTATGAGTTGACTAAAGCTAAGAGGAATATAACTAGATCTGCTTTCAGTCCATTTTCCATGGTTTCTGTATCTCGTAGGAGAAGGTTTGTGAGCAGTTCTGAATTGGATTGACTAAAAGCAGATAGAGGTTCATGATTTGCAGTATTTTTTACTATATTTGTAGGTATTAACTATGGTTATTCTGAGCAAAAATACAACTTTTTTTCATGAAGAATCCTGCATTTAGATGTTTAGCTTTTGGTGTTACAAATTGGTAACTTTGTTTTACATAGTTTGATATAACTGATTTAAGTATTAAATTCTCAGTGCATTTTATGTAATGCCAGGAATAAAATCTACAATACTGTTTTAATACACTCTGATCATACTTATGTCTTAGTATGTAACTACTATAACATGTATGACTTTATAATTACCCATGGCTGTGAAAGATACGGTTATTTTAAATTCTGTTTTCCACAGTGGCTCTTAATAAGAATAGTAAGCTGACAGTGGATACTCTGGATCTGAGAAGGTTTGGCTTGTGGAGAAGTGATGGTGGCTGTTCTTCAACAACGATCATTTTCCTTTGGTTGTCTGTGGATTATGTAGAAAAGATTGAAACCCAATTAGGAAAGTTAGTTATCAGCAAGCCATGTGAGTAATCTTTTTCCTTAAATACAATGAAAAGGTCTAATATATGGCATGTCAATAAAGCGGTTATTTTACAGTTGTGCTTCTGGAATACTGAGGAAAGCCTTTTTAGCTTTTTAAAGATAAGCCAGTCAGTTTTGCTTTTCTAAAATGCCTCACTGTACTTGTATTTGGGAAAAAAATCCAAAATAATGTGATTCAAAACCACTGCTACTTAATAAAAAGACCTTGTAACACAGTTCAGTTGTAATCTGTGTGAGGAAGCCTTCTGAAACTAGGCTTGTGTATAAAGTATCTCTCCCTTTAAAATAAATGGGATATTTTAAGTGTCCTTACTCTTGAGTAATGTATGTGCTAGACGAGAGGTTTGGCAGATAAAGGTTGGTTTGTCTTTGACAAGACTGCATTGGCCATTGCATTATTACTGGAGAAAATTTCCTCTAAAGGCTGAATGGGCTATTTAGTCTGTAGGGTCTTATGGACTGGCTCTATTTGTTTTTCTAGCGTGAAGCTCTGTAAAACTGAATATAACTTGTGCTCAAATATTTAGAGTGGCACAGTCACACAAGGTTTTTACATTACCAAAATCATTGCAAAATGACATCTAACGAAATGATGTCAGAGTTGCCTGTGTGAAATTTAACAGTATGTTTACCCTGTACAATCACCACCTGTATGAAGAAAAATTATAAGTAATATTAACTTTACATAAGGAGCACGAGTATTTTGAAGTGAGATACTGAGTGAAATTTTAGCAGTGAGTTACCTTTACGTGATGTAAGTTTATCAAAGTTACTGGTAGCTACTATAGACACAGCTCCCAGTGAAATGAGTGGAATCTGAGTATGAAGCTGTGAGGCACTTTTTAATCTGAGGTTTATTTAGCTTGATTACAGTCTTGTTGTAGGAGAAACCTTCAGGAGTTGTTATTAAATTTCTATGCTTGAATGTTTTATGCCTTTTAAATATGTAGTAATAGAAATATTTTGAAATGTATGTAGAGACTTCCTGAAACAAATCAGTGGTGGTTTTACAGATTGTGGAAATGGTTGCTATGATTCTGCTTTGCCTTCTTAGTGTGTTAATTTTAGAGGAAAATATATCATGCCGGATCTGACAGACCGAGAGGGGTGAGGCTGCTGCAGCTCCATGTCCCCAGGTCCAACCAGTAGCAAGACTGAAGATGTAGTCCCAATAGGTGGAGCACACAGAGCACACACATACACCACATATGTGCATAGGTGGCCACACAGATAATGCAGACACACAGCACTCATACAAGCACAGGCAGCACCAACAGCCTCATCCTGCTCCCCTCTCTGGCTGAGCAGGATGGAGGCCCACTAGTGAGAAAATACATACGTGTGTATATATGCGTGTGTGTATATATATGTATGTATATATATATACACACAAATACGTACAAGGTGGATCCCTCTGTCAGCTGGGCTCAGACACTCAGTCTGCCCAGTTGCTGGCCCTGGGTCCCAGTCTCCCCGGTTGCTGGCACCTGGACATACAAGCCACCGTGGCTGCTGCTAGTTGCTGATATAGACCGTCATGGGCACGCAGGCACACAGCTGGCCAGGACTCCCCTGGTCCCAGTAGCTGACCCCCAGTGCTCTCGTCCTTAGAGATACATAGGCAGTCTCACAGCCAGAGCTGTCCCTTAGGGACCTGCTCACCCCCTGGCTCCCAGGGCACTTCACCTATTCACCTAGTTTGGCTTGATCTTTGCTATCAATCACGTGCGCATTTGCACATGCGCTCACTCCAGTTGCTGCACTCAGACCCCTGTACACACACATCGAATACAGTCCCTCACCCAGGAGAGAGTTAGAAAGGAATTTAATAAGAAGACAGGACAGACTGCGCTGATCCAGACAAACGTACTGACCAGCAAAATATTTAGATGCAACTGGTCCTTTTTATGCCCTTAGCCCTCTATTTTCCCACACTTGTTCCTCCCCAAATCACCTAAATGCCTCCCTTTGCCTGCCTTCTTCCCTGAAACATCCCATAATAACTCCTGTGCAATCCCAAAATGCTCTTCTCCTGCATCCCATCATGTGTGCCGTACACCTCAGCAGCAACTCCCACTCAGGCCAAAAGGTGCTCTGGCATTGACTCATCTTGATGGGTTGCAGGTCTGGACCCTGGGGCTGAGGGTCTCCTGGGAGAGCCCTGGGAAAGGCCCAGACCAGGCGTCCCTTCCTCTCAGTCCTTAATTCGGATTCCTACTGGCCATTGTGCCCCTGTGCTTCTCTGGGCTTGTGGAGGTGGGCCTTTAGTGGGCTGATGGCCCCTGTGATGAACCTGGGAGGGTATTGGGCTCCCCCTCCTGCCATTGTCTCTCTATGCTCCTTTGTGGGTGTGCAGACAAGTTTTTGTCACATAACCTTATAGTTAATACTATCCATTCTCTCCTTTTTCCAGCCAAAGCTAGTGAATTTGTATTTCTTGAAGTGTCCCAACCACTTACAGAATGGGAAGAAGACAGACTGACTGAATTGATTAGAGATGTGAGCAAGAAGAACAGAGCACCAGATCTCCCTGACTTTTTGTCTTTGAAGCAAGCATTACCCTTGTTTAAGGACCTTTCTCCTGAAGAGAGCTCTTTTATGAGTAACAGTAAAGATCTACTAAAGCAATGTATGCCAAAAGAGAATACGTCAGATGCTTATGAGCCTGCAGTTCAGGTTAGCGAGTAGCTATTGCTTGATTCATCACCACCTGTTGGCATTCACATATTCGAGTAAATTTTAGATCAGCAGTTGCAGAAAATAAATTCTTTCCTAATCCATACTCAAAAAAAAAAAACCAGTCATGTTTGTTATTTCTTGCTAACAATGGGACAAGATTTGCAGTAAACTAGATAGACCTCATCAGTAAGTGGCAAATACTAAGCTTTAGGTTGACTCATGGTTGCGTATGCCTAGAACCACAGGGATCTCCTGCCCTTGTGGTGTCTCCAGGGCAGCAAGTTGGGAGTTAATCAAGTAATGAGTGATGGAGCCATTTTTCAGTTGAGCTGGAAGTGAAGGGGTGCAGCACAGGAGGAGCTGTATATCTTGCTCGTTCCAAACACCTCTAGACATTCTTGTGGGGGCTCCACAGCTTGAAATGCTGAATGATTCCTAAGGCTGCTGAGGAGATGGGGCTGTGCAAGTTAATGTGTTAATACACCTCCCTCTGAGGAGTAAATGTCTCAACCCAACGCCAGATCATTGTCACTTCAGAAATTACCTGTGTTTCTCCCCATCAGTGAAAAGCACAGAGACAACAGATCAATCTGGCTATGAAACTGGGAACTTAAAATTGAGCCAGCCAGTTCAGATCTGTATAATTTTTAGGCAAGTTGTTAAGAACTAGATTTTCAAACCTTCCAAGCATACACAGCTCCAAGTAAGACAGTCTGATGCTTGTCTCCATCCTCTCAGGTCCTGTTTCTTCTCCAAAACCAATTCTGCATCTGTTGGCTGAATAATGCTTAAAGAGTTTTAGAGAGAGGTTATGAACAGATGAAGACCTGTCATAATTTTGAAAGGGACATAACTTTTTTTATTGTCTGAGCAGTGGAACATTTGCCTAAATACTGATGTTTACACTTCTGCTCTCCAGCAAGATTCCTTTTCAGTGGTGCAGGGTACTCCTGTGGGCTTCAGGCTTGGTTTTTGTGTGTTCTGTTTTACATATCAAGCTGTGCAATGCTTTTTACTATTATTATTGTTTGGATTTTTTCTGGTAGGAATCAAAACCAAAAGTGGCCAGGCCCAGTTACGCCCTTGCAAGTAAGCAGAATAGTGGTTGTTATTCTATCTCTCTGTCCTCGGCACTGAATGAAGAATGGAAAGAAGTAAGAGAAACAGGAGTAGTTAAGAAGTAAGTATATTTCATATAAATGAGAAGGTGAAAATAAAACAAATGGAATAAACAAATTGCTGGAGTAAAAGCATTCTCTAGTTGATTTGAAAGTGTTGTGTGAAAGATGCTCTAGAAATCTAAAATATCACCAAGTATGAATGTAGTTATTCCTGTTTCCATCGTAATAGTTAACAGACAAATGTGTAATGCAGCGAGATACTATGAGAGTGCTAACATGCCTCAGTTCTATGTGCACTAGCCTGTTAGTCCTCATACTTCTGGTACGGCAAACATTAGTGAAGTAAATTGCTCTTAAGAACTCTTGCCTTTTGCCATCACTGTTTTTACTGACAGTATAGCAGTTGGTTTTGTTTCTGAATGGCAAAAATGCTCAGTTCATGGTTCGAGTTAAGCAATACGGTCGTTAATCTAGAGCTTTTAAAATACATTTTACATACAAACATTAGAAGTAACTTGGGCAGTTTCAAACCACTTACAGTACATATGCTGCATGGTGCGTAAACCCAAGTTTCCTGCTTGGAAATGTAGGAGTCCTTATTGGAGTCTTAATGAATAGAAAATCACTGTTCATTCATACCATTTGAGAATATGTCCCCTAGTATTTCTTCCCATTTTATACAGCCATTCGTCAATTACTTTTGTCAAAAATAGAAAAACAAGATGAAAGTAAAAAATAATCTACTTTTGAAAAGTTTTCTCAAAATTTCAGTGTGCAGTGGGGTGCACATTTCTTTTGTAACACTTAACTATTGCAGGAAGAAATGGTAAAGGACTTTTGAGTTAGTCAACAGTTTTGAGAAATACCACTTTTAACAGGTTTTCTAGAAAATCTTCTACATGTGGAACAGCCATACTAAGAAGAATGTCATGTAAAACACAGTTTGTCACTATTACAACGTGATTTGTGTTTTCTAGTTTAATTGTTTATCCACCCCCACCTGCAAAAGGAGGACTGGGAGTCACAAGAGAAGACCTAGAGTGCTTAGAATATGGAGAGTTTCTCAATGATGTCATCATTGATTTCTATCTTAAGTAAGTAATCACAGCTTTATTTGTACCCCTCTTTCTGGGACCTGATCTGGACTTGAATGTTACTGTAAATGTTGGTCACTAAATACGATGCAGCAATTTTAGAAGTAACAGTATGATGAATTTGTAAGTTGGGCTTTTTTTAAAGCTTTTATGTATTCTCAGCAGTTTAATTTGTTTCAGTTTCATTCTTCTTGTCCCTCTGAAGGGCTGTGATGTAATCCAGGCAGAATAGCTGGGGGAAAAAAGCCTCTTGGCGACCTCACGGAACAGAAAGTGCTGAGCAGTTTTAATCAGGTAGTTGAACAAAGTAGAGGGTCTGTACCAGGTAGTTTATTTACTAAGTTTGCATGAAGTGGAGCATCCTCTGCTATTCTGTGCAAGAGTTCAGGAATTCTTCTGATGCACAGCTCCTGCAGAAAGGAACACAGCTAATACTTCTTGAGGAAGTTGTGCTTGGCTTGCCTGCTTCATGCCTTCCTGCTAAAGTTGCTTGTGAAAGCAAGTTTTCCAGAACCAGCATTGTGGACCACCATTCACTAAAGCTGAGGTTTATTTTCCCTGTGCTGACTTAAACCTAAGCAGAATTCTGGCTCTTTTGAAGGTTGTCTGCAAGAATTCCATTTTCTTGTTATCCAGCATGGCTGCAGTAACTGTGAGCAATAGGAAGCCAGTTAAAACTTCCCACTATCTAGAGGAGTGGGAAAGGAAGCGTGTACCAGAGTGTTTTGATGTGGTTTTACAGCAAAGCCACCTGTATTTTGCTCTAAACTAGAAATAAATCATGCAGCTTGGTCCTCTCAATAGCTGTAGCTTCATCTCACCAGAAAAGGAAGATTTGAATAAAGGAATTAAATGCAGTCATTGCAGAAACCCATCTGCTTTTTAAGTTTTTTAGACTTTCCACATTCTCAGTTTTCATTATGTTGTAAGCTGTGTCATGTATGACTGTGTTGTCCAAGTCATCAGGTGAAGCTGGAGGCACCTTGTGTAGGATGGCTGCAATTATGAGAGATTTGGCCTCCTAGGATGACAGAATAAACACTTAAGCTGATGTTTATAGTAAAATGATCAACAGTAAAATCATTCAGAATGAGTACCTGTAGAATATTTGTCTTAACTTTCACATGCATAACCTGTAGAAGTAAAATGGACAATTTATAGTACTGAACTGTTCTATGCTTTTTGTATATGCAGAAGTATAACACTCCATAGGTTTATACTTGGTTAGGATTTCAAGCCTGTCTTCACTGCAAGAAACCTAACTCTAAAAATAAATTCAGAAGCATTAATACTGGAGCACAAATCTGAGATAAAAAATAACTGCATTCTTAGTAGTTACTTGGCTGTTACATACTCTGATGATGTCCACCCATGTGCATATTGAAAATAGAGTAGAGAGGAAAGTTTGGCATGATTAGCGGCTGTGAAGGCAACTGATAGTAAGCATAACCTGAGTATGATAAGTCATTAAAATAATTGTCCTTGTTTTTTATCAGTAGTGGTACTTTCTAGAAAAGGAATTTAATAATTTCCTTCTTTTTTTCTTTGGTAGATACCTGTTGTTGGAGAAGGCACCAAAACATCTTGCTGATCGTACACACATTTTTAGCAGTTTCTTCTATAAGTGCCTGACCAGGACAGAAAAAAACTCTGAGGGGGATCTCAAAGTTTCGTAAGTTCATTTTAGATGCCATTATGACCAGAAATAAGCTGTCTGTTGATTTCACTTGGAAGTTCTGCAGATCATCTCCTAATTAGCACATAAAACAGTAATCAGTGTTCTCCAAAGGATTAGTGGCTAAATGTTGTAACTCACAATTTAAGCATACCGGTGTTTTTCATTAATATCTACATGTGATTCATACTGAATATGAATGAAAATGTTACCACCTTTCTCCAACTTTATCTGAATCTTTACTTCAGACAATTATTTATGTATTTTGATCTTTTTATTATAAACTCCAGAGTTTTGCAAGGTATGCATCATTTTAAGAAATTGCACTTCTAAAAATATTTTTAGATTTGCCACATATTTCATTTTACATATTGGTAATAAATTATTGTCCAAATTTTTAGTAAGAAAATTTTCTTACACACCAAGTTTACACATTTGTTTTTTAGCACTTAAGCACACTGGAATTGGTATCATTAAGAGCTCAGGAACCGTGTATCACTTTGTGTTTCCAGCTAAGACTGTATAAAGGTAGGACCATCCCTAGCACACTTTCCGTTCCTTCTCAACACTGATGTTTGAGAGTGGAGCTTGCCCTGCCACTTCACTTACAATGATGATCTGCCAGCAACTTTCATTCTGTTTTCATCATTCAGCTTATCAAAGTTTTTTTCTGTTTCTCTGAAGTGATTTTTCTCCTGTTATCCATAAAGTCCCCAGGTTTTTCATTCTACTGGCAAACAAGGCCACCTGCACAAAGAGATGCACCATCTTGTTTGTGTTACAGTCACTGCTGGGTGAAAGCTATGTTAGAAGGAAAAAAATGCAACTTCTGTAATATTTTCAAAGATGTCTCAAAAATTCAAGGAACTGTGCTTGAGAGAATGTCTTCCATCATTTTATTGTCTTCTGACCCTGAATGTTCTGAGGTGGAGACAAAATTATCCATGTTAAGAATGCTGTTGTGCCTTGATCCTGATTCCTTTTACAAGGCTGGACTGTCCATAACCTTCTTGAGGAGCTAGAATGGCACTCTTCATTCACCATATTTCAAGGACTGTAGCTGCTCCGCATCAGGAGATAGCTTTGGAAATTCTAGGTTTGTGTTTAGGCTTAAATACTTACCTGCACTTCCAGGTAGTTTGGGTTTTGTTTGTTTGTTTCTGTGGTGTTTTTTGGATAAATGGATAGTGGAAAATTGGGCTCTGTACTGTTGTAAATGAAATTAATCTCAACAGATGTAATTACTTAACTTACAGACCCTTTGCTTCTTTTTCTTCACACTGCTTAGGCAATAGATTGAGAAAGCTCCTTCTATTGGTGCTTTCCCAGGCTGCAAACATGCCTTCCCCTTTTAAGTACCCAGTGCTTCTAGAGTCGTGTAGTAGAGGAAGTTTGCAGCAAGTCTTCACTTAATGCTGGCCTATGCAGAGTCCCACAGCAGCTTGTTTTTCCATTCCTCACTCCTTTTCTCCTGTTCCTCCTACACTGAAGTTACGTTTCTTGATCACAGATCAGGATGGAATCAGAGTGGTAATAGGGATGTCTCCTGAGTGGAGTGGATTTTGCTTTCAGATCATACTGGAGCGAAGTTCTATGAACCGTTGGTTTCTATTTCAACTTGTGCAAACTAAGAAAGTTGAAAATCTAAATTTAAGTTTCTTCTTAAATTTTTCTTTTTCTCCTAGTATCCTGTCCTCATGCTTTATGTCTATAGGACTGGAAATGAAATGTGCTCCAGCATTTAAAGTTCAGGACTGGAGGGAATCTGTTTCAGTTCTGGCTTTGCTACAGGTGTGTTGCATGACCTTATGCCAGGCATTTAGCTTTTTCCTTCAAAAGATAAGGTTGTTTAGACAGGCCTTCGAAAGTGGTATTGTGAAGTTTAAGTCATAGATGTTTGTAAATTTCTACAGATCTGTTTTTACACTGGCTGGTGTTTAGATGAGATTTTTGCATTTAGTGTAGTAAATAATAATTACTGAATAAATAAGTGCAAGAAATCCTTTCAAATCTATGGATGATTTTTTCCAGAAGAGTTTAAGATGGTTCGGAAATGGCTTGTTAGTCACTTGGGCTTAATGGTGTGCTGATTTATTTTTTTCTCTGTCAGGGAAATTTCAAGAGTAAATGAAAAACTCATTGAGTATTGGGAAGATGTAGGAGTACTAATCCCTATACCTTGCTTTAACTAAAAAGAACAAATCCAAACAACAATTGTCATTTGGTTTCTGCAGAGCAGCACAGAGAAGACACAGAAGAGTAAGAACGTGGACTCGTCATATAAACATCTTCAGTAAAGATTATATCTTTGTGCCTGTGAATGAGGAGTAAGTCTATGTGTTTTAGACACTTTTTCTGATATTTAAAGATTTAAATATTTGAATGTTGTGGTAACAGAAAAATTTATGACTGTAAGCTTGGATCATTGGAAATGAACACATTAGATTTTGAAGAAGTAGCAGGTGTGAAATGAGTAATTTTGAAGTCTCTTCAAAAGTTAAACTTTTTATTTAGTTGTCTTCAGTAAACTTTACATCTCTTTTTTTTTTTTTTGTTTCATTGAAAATTTCTTGTATGTATTTTTCAAAATAATTTGTGTGTCATTATGATCATTCCTGTGCACTTAAGCAATATTTCTATAAAGAAATCACAGAAACTCATAGTGTTAATGGATCAGGAGTAGTACTTCCGTGGTCTGTGACTTGGCCTGGTTGAATAACTGACCTGCACATGGAAACTCCAGTAAAACTGAATAGTTATTGAGTGTTACATATGCAAAACAGCTGCAGAAAGAGATAAGGCTAGAGGCATGCCATACCCTCAGCTATATTCAAAACTGGGATCACCATCACAGATTATTTATTATTTTATTACTTTTTTTTTGTTTTTTTTACAGTGTGGGATGGGTGGTGAGACACTGATAAATTGCTGTGGTGGGTTTGTTGGGTTTTTTTTAAAGGAATTGATACTTATTTTTGCTGTTATGCCACAATGTGAAGTAAAAAAATGAGTGAGAGGATTAGTATGAAATGCCATGAAGGAACATGGCAGCAATGGTTGTGTGTCACAGAACAGTTGTCCATGAGCTCTCGATGTTATAAAAACTTTTCCTATCCTTTTCAGAACCAAATGTTACACAGTTTTGACGTTTTTTCCCCCCCTCTCCCCACTGCTGGGCAGGTCTCATTGGTACATTGCAGTTATCTGTTTTCCTTGGTTAGAAGAAGATGTGTATGAGGAGTGTCCCCATCAGAATTCATTATATCACCAGCCTCAACAGTCTCCACTTCAGTCAGAGAGTGAGAACACTAGAACTGGTTCAGTGTTGGCCTTTCCTGGTAACTGCAAGGATGAAGAAGAAATGGATGCTAACAGATGTTTATTCTCAAAAGGTAGGTAATCTAGAAAAAAATTACATCAAGCCATACACAGTTCTAAAAGTGTTCTTAATCCTTAAAGGAGAGATATGATGTCTTAAAAAGTATCTTTCACACCAAGATTGATGTAATATGTTTTTGTATTACCATGCATAGCAAGGACTGCACTGCATTCTTGTTATCCGCAACTCTGGAAAATACTGGAAGGGACATGTAAAATCAGTGGCTCAGATCCCACTATGAGTGGAAAGTTCTTAGATTTCAGTAAGAATTTTATCAGGAAGGCAGGCCCTCAGTAACTCTGCTATTTGAACATTCAGAAGGGAAGCAAAATTATTTTATACTTTAGTATCGTATTTTGAATACTAATAATCATGAATTTGAAAATGAAAATATTTCAGTTAGGAAATATTTTCTTAAGACTTTTTAATTTGTCTTTTGTACTAGGTGGCAATGAAATTGCTGCTTCTGCTTCAGTCCTGGATTCAGGTATTTCTAAAGTAAGTGCCTTTTTGTACTGACAGAGGAAACATGTATTACTGTGTTTCTGAAGGCTCCGAGACTTGACCAAGTGATTTTGCATCATCTTTTTTTGCAGCAGCTGTTGATACTTGTGTGGCCTGCAGCATGTGCAAGGCACTTTGAATTAGCCTAAAGTCCTCCTTTGCCTACCTATGTTGCCTATGCTATGCTTTTGTGTGTTTTTAAAATTATTTATCCGTTTCTCCCTTTCTGAAATGGGAGCCTCTTCGGCTTTACCTTTAAATCTATGAAGACATTTAGGTTTATAATTGTTGTAGTTTTTTTAAGTATTTTTATTTTTTCTTCTCCCAGATCTCCCTAGGTAATTCCAAAAGGCAGATTTGTAAAAGGTACGTTTGTGTTTTCATACTAATATTGTATCATTAAATTATATTAAGAAATTCTGCAGTCATTCAGTTATTTGTCATAAAGTCACAGCTGTAGGAACTTGTCCATTTTTTCCGTGTTTGTTCAGATATTGATGCTCTTAAGCTGTATGCAGACAAAATATTTGCTTCAGTAGTGTTGGTAATGAAAGACTACAATGATTTGTTTGTTTGGTTTTGTTCTGTGCAGGCCTTGTATACTCATCTTAGATTCTTTGAAAGCTGGTTCTGTGCAGAAAACACTTCAGGTTTTGAGAGAGTAAGTAACTACAGTTTCTATTTATTAGAAAGATGCTGCTGGTCATATTTCCATTTTCAAAATACTCTTCTCTATAAAGGTGTACATTTCTAATGCTAAAGGAAAATACATAAAGAGCCATAACAAAGAAGATTGTAAGAGCAATACAGAGGCTTGTGTGAAAAGCCTGTCTTTGTTCTGCAGCCCAGATACAATGCAAAAATTGTGAAGTGAATAGTCTTTTTAAAATTGGAAAAAAAAATATTAGAAGTAGAGAGGGGTTGGGGTTTTTTTTAATCCCCTCCATTTCAGTAATGGAGGGTGTTTTTAAGGGTAGAAAAACAGATTCTTTAAAATGAATACTTCGAAATTTAAATGATTAATTTTCCAAAGGGCTGATCTTCATTTTTTTGATGGAGCTTACAGAATTATAGTGTTAAATCAACTTCTATCTATGTGCAGAAAAGTAGAAACTAGACTGAAGCTGCCTAAAAGCTTGATGTGTCAGTATAGTTATATCGGAATGGTATTATTTGTTTTGAAAAGTGAGAGTAAAAATATATTCAGTCTTTTATGTGATAAGTATGTAAGTATTGGAAGAACGTCTTCAAACTTTCAGTACTTTTACATGCTCGTAATGACTTTAACATCTATCAACAACTTTTTAAGAAGTTGCTAATATTAAATATTTGAAGCTAAACAGAATTGTTCTTTTTGTTCTCTGTTGTATCCAGTTCACTGAAAGGAACAAAAATCTGTAAACCAAATAGTACCTCCTCCTTGTAAAAGTAAATTCTTCAAAATACTATGTGAGTGTTAGATGACAATCAGAAATTTTTGTGAAACCCTCTTTTCCCTAGATAGAGAGGCCTCCTCACCATGTGTGTTTTGGGAGGAAGAATGAAATAGCAATTTTTTTTTTTTTCCTCCTTTAATCTCTGCGGGATGTATTAACTTAGTGCTCTACGCTTTGAGCTACTCTGAAATTCAGAGAGGGTGGTTTCCTGGAGTTCAGAGAGATGTCATGAAAAGTCAGAAAACAAAGAGGTGATTTATGGAGTTGTGAGATCAGGGAAGTTTGGGCAGCAGACCTCTTATTCCTTTAATTTGCGGTTACACCCTGAAAGCAGAAGTTTAAGGAAACTGATGCAGGGGTTCTGTGACCTCTTCTTTCCTTGAGTTGATTTTTGTTGTATTTTGGGCAGTGGTCAGGCTCAAACAAATTAATTTTAAAGTCTACAGTCACAGGTTCTTGCAGTTTCTAGGGAATGTGCTTCACTGAACTGTCTTCATCTTTGAATTGTTTCATGTTTGCCTTCTTTTCACAGTTGCCATTTTCCCCAAAAGTGTTTTGGGTGGTTTATATGTATTTTTATTCTCAGAGTTGAAAGGGTTTGAGGCTTTTAGAAATCAAACACAAGGTCTGACTTAATGTATATATTTTTTATTCCCTAAAGTCAGATTTTCACAAGCCCTGAGCTTTTGCAACAATGACTAAAGTCAGCAGAAAAGTGTAGGTAACTGTTGCCTTTGAAAATCAGACCCTTATGCTTTCAATCCCATCTTCAAAATCAGTGTCCAGCCCAGAATGTGGGGTCAGTGAGTTGCTACTGAAGCAGAAGAACAATAGAAAAGCCTGATAACAAATCATAATCATTAATGTAATCAATAATAACAAGTCATAATCATTAAAGAAGTAATCCCTTAAGGTTTTTAACAAGTCTTTATATACCTCGTACAGTAGTAGGTTGCAAGGGTTATGTTGGTGCAATTGTGACTGAAGTTGTTTGTAAGGTGAATTCTAAGGTTTTTTTAATGATTTGCTTAGGTTAGAAAACCACTGCTGGCCTCTTAGGATAAACCCAGGAAAAATCTGTGTGATAGCCAGGAAAGATTACTTGAGTTCTTCCTTTAGTTAAGGTTTAAAAATGTCCTGGTATCCTAATAGCTTGAAGAAACTCGGCACAAATAATTTTGTTTTTAAATAACGTCATGCGTCTTTCTGTTTTGTATATTGCATGTTATGTGGTAGAGATGCCTCTGAGTGTGGTAGAATATTGCATAGTGGAAATTGTGTTGTTCCTTATATGATTTCTTTGACAGATTCTGTGAAAGAAATTGGTTAAAGCTATTTTAGCTTTTTGGCCAGCTCCAGAACGATATTGAGTAGTATCCCAAAATGCGTTGAGCTTGGGAGTTATTTCTCAAGTATTTAATTGTTTGCTTTCTTTTGTAGGTACCTTGAAGTGGAATGGGAAGCTAAACGAAAAACACATCGAGAATTCAATAAATCAACTATGATTGACCTGTGTCCCAGAGTGCCTAAACAAGATAACAGCAGTGATTGTGGGGTCTATTTGTTGCAATATGTGGAAAGCTTCTTCCAGGTACAAATGGAAACTACCTTCCCCTTTCCCCAAAATCACCTTAAACCCAAAAAAACTATTTCTGAGGGAAATAGCCAGGCAGAAAAGCCTGTGATGCTCAGCCTCAGAAGTGTCAAAGCCATTTGAGGAAGAGGAGATAAAACCCATTCTTCAAGAAGTGGCAGGGATCTCTGTATCTGGAGCACAGTTAGTTTCTCATCTGTGTTTGTTGGCAAACATTTCTTACCTTGTAGTTTAATGTTGCTTTTACATTGACACATTCAATATCCCTAACTATTTGGGTGTATTTGGAGTCAGTTTACACATTTCTGGCCTACAGATGTTGCAAAGGCATCTTTTCTGTGCATCTCTTCTTGTAGCCTCTAAAACTTTGGTCAGCTTGTGCATTGTCCTTTGAGTGGCTCTGCAGGCAGCAGCTTCTGTGGAGAAAGGGAGCGGGGAATCCTTAAAAGCGAATGCGCAGAGCTAAGGGAGCCTCTCTTTCCTGTTCAGCGCATTTTTTTTAGTATCTGCAGATGCTGGGCTTCAGGCACTGTCTGTTAGGGTGTCCCCAACTCTTCCTCCCCCTGATCAGTGCACTGCCGTCTTGCTCTGTCCTTTGAATGGCTCTTCTTGTTTAATGCTTATACATGTGGTCCATGTTCTCTCTGAGAGAGAGAGAAAGCATGGAAAGCTTTTTTTGTGCCTGGAAAGCCTTGTGTGGGGCCTTGGCCAGTGGACAGATTTTTCTTGTAGTAGAACAGATTGCCATTCCAAAGCGCCTGTACACTAATGCACACAGCGTGGGGAATAAATGTCAGGAATTAGACATCTGTGTGCAGTTGCAGGGCTATGATCATGTTGAGATCACAGGGACAGATGGTGGTGGGATAGCTTACGTGACTGGAGTGCTGTGATGGATGGATACAGTCTCGTTAGGAAGGACAGGCTGGGAAGATGAGGAGGTAGAGTTGCCCTTTATGTGAGAGAACAGCTGGAATGCATGGAGCTCTGCCTAGGGTTGGATGAGGAGCCAACTGAGAGCTTATGGGTAGTGATTAAAGAGCAGACTAATATGGGTGACATAGTAGTGGGCATCTGCTGTAGGCCACCTGATCAGGAAGAACAAGTGGATGAGGTCTTCTACAGACAGCTAGAATCAACCTCACATTCGCAGGCCCTGGTCCCTGTGGGGGACTTTAACCACCCTGACATCTGCTGGCGGGACAACACAGAAGGACATAAGCAATCCAGGAGGTTCCTGGAGAGCATTGATGACAGTTTCCTGACCCTAAGTGATAGAGGAGCCAATGAGGAGAGGTGCTCTGCTGGACTGCATACTCACAAGCAAGGAAGGTCTGGTTGGGGATGTAAAGGTCAAAGGCAGCCTTGGCTGCAGTGACCATAAGATGGTGGAGTTCAGGATCATGAGAGGAAGGAACAGGGCAAAAAGCAAGATCACAAGCCTGGACTTTGGCCTCTTCAGGGAACTGCTTGGAAGAGTTCCATGGGATAAGGCCCTGAAAGGAAGAGGGGTCCAGGAAGACTGGTTGGTATTCAAGGAACATCACCTCCAAGCTAAAGAACAATTCATCCAAACAAGCAGGAAGTCAAGCAAAGATGCCAGGAGGCCTGCATGGATGGAGGAGCAGCTCCTGGCAAAACATGAAGAGGAAGTATACAGAAGACAGAAGCAGGGACAAGTAACCTGGGAGGAATATAGCGATACTGTCCAAGCATGCAGAGATGTAATTTGGAAAGCCAAATCCAACTGGAGTTTAATCTGGTGAGGGATGTCAAAGGCAACAAGAAGGGCTTCTGTAATTATATAAGCAGCAAAAGGAAGAGTAGGGAAGATGTGGACTGACTGCTGAATGGGGCAGAGGCGCTGGTGACACAGGACATGGAAAAGGCTGAGCTTCTGAATGCCTTCTTCATCTCACTCTTTACTAGCAAGACTGGCTTTCAGCAATCCCAGTCCCTAGAGACTGGGGAAAAGACTGGAGCAAGGAAGACATACCCCTGGTGGAAGAGGATCAGGATAAGGAATACTTAAATGGACATTCGTAAGTCTGTGGGCCCTAGTGGGATGCTCCCATGAGTGCTGAGGGAGCTGGCTGATATCGTTGTGAGACCACTCTTGATAATCTTTGAACAGTCGTGGCAGTCGGGAGAGGGACTGGAGGAAAGCAAATGTCGCTCCTATCTTCAAAAAAGGCAGGAAGGAGGACCTGGGGAGTGACAGGCTGGTCAGATCCCTGGGGGCGTGATGGAGCAACTAATCCTGGAAACCGTTTCCAGACCTGTGAAGGACAGAAGGGGATTGAGAGTAGTCAGCATGGATTCGCAGAGACAGGGGGGAGTCATGCTTGACCAACCTGATAACCTTCTATGATGAAATGACTGGCTTGGTAGATGAGGGGAGAGCAGTGGATATTGCCTACCTGGACTTCAGCGAGGCCTTTGACACTGTCTCCCGTAAGATCCTCATAGAGAAGCTGATGGAGTATGGGCTGGACGAGCAGCCAGTGAGTTGGATTGAAAACTGGCAGACTGGGTGGGTCCCGAGAGTGGTGATCAGTGGCAGGCAGTCTAGTTGGAGGCCAGTAACTAGCAGTGTGCCCCAGGAGTCAATATTGGGTCCAGTCCTGTTTAACATCTTCATTAATGATCTGGATGTTGGGACAGAGTGCACCCTGAGCAACTTCACAGATGACACAAAACTCTGAGGAGTGGCTGATAACACCAGAGGGTCGTGCTGCCATCCAGAGGGACCTCGAGACGTGGAGAATGTGCTGACAGGAACATCATGAAGTTAAACAAGAAGTGTAGAGTCCTGCGCTCAGGGAGTAACAACCTCAGGCACCAATATATGCTGGGGGTCACCCAGCTCGAAAGAAACTTTGCTGAAAAGGACCTCAGGGTCTTGGTGGACACCAAGTTGAACATGTGCGAGCAGCGTGTCTTTGCAGCGAAGAAGGACAGCAGTATCCTGGTCTATGTTAGGAGGAATGTTGCCAGCAGTTCGAGGGAGGTGATCCTTCCCCTCTCCTCAGTCCTGTGTCCAGTTCTGGTCTCCCAAGTACATGAGAGAGATGGTGCTATTGGAACAAGTCCAGCAAAGGGTCACAAAGATGGTTAAGGTACTGGAGCATCTCTCCTGTGAGGAAAGGTTGAGAGAGCTGGGACTCTCAGAGAAGTCTCAGGGGGGATCCTATAAATGTGTTCAAATATCTGAAGGGAGGGTGCAAAATGGACAGAGCCCTCTCTTTTCAGTGGTGCCCAGTGACAAGACAAGAGGCAATGAATGCAAACTGAAACACAGGAGGTTCTCTCTGAACATAAGGAAATGCTTTTTTTTACTGTGAGTGTGACCAAGTGCTGGTACAGGTTGCCCACAGAGGTTGTGGAGTGTCCCTCCTTGGAGATATTCAGAAGCTGTCTGGACATGGTCCTGGCAGCTTGGAGATATGGCCCTGCTTGAGCAGGGGGCTTGGACCAGATGACCTCTGGTTCCTTCAATCCTCAGCCATTCTGTGATTCTGTGATAGAAGAGTTGAGCTCTTGTGTAAGTGGAAAATGAAATTCTTTACCAGTGCTTTTGAACTGCCTGTTCTCTAACAGTGGGGTCATGTTCTGCTTGCAGAAGCAAGGCCAGGACAAGGTGGTTGTAATTTGTGCTAAACATACCAGGGCTCTGCAAATCATGATGTGTTTTCGCTTTGCTTTTTCAATTTATCATATACTCCTCTGTTCAAAGGAAGGAAAAGGTGGAATATAAGCACTGCAAA